ATATATTATTTTATTAATATTAATTATTACTATTACTATATATTATTCTTATTATTTTTGATTCTATGGGTATTGGTATTTATAGGTCCAAGAAAAACTCTATCTGGGGTCTAAATTCAAAGCCCGTGCGTCCAACCCAACAAGCAAACTTGCTTGACCCAACAAGCAAGCGCATCAAGGCCTATCAATACAAGCCTGCGCGAAGCTAGAGTTTTGGGATGAACAAAGGCGACACGCATCTCCCATTTTTTGGATCGAAAGGGGATCAATGAGCATGATCACCAACAACTTAGGATTATCAAACCCTAGAGGATACATCATAGCGCAACCAAACGAGAGTTGTTGGATTTGGCTCCATGATCCAAATACCCAAAACATATCAAGACAGTAAGAAAAACCCAACCATCAGATCTATTGCACATGAAAACCACATGTCGACATTGAGCCCTCCCACGCGACAATCAACAAATGTTTTTAGAAAGAAATCCAAAAATCAAATCGAATTCAACCAAATCTCCAACAGTGAAAACAAATCAGAATCAAGTATTAAAATATAAATTTGAATCTTTTTTTAATAAAAAGGTTTTACAAGCTATAGAATGTTGTTTGAATCAAAATACAAATGTGAAAACCTTAGGGTTCAATATGAAATATGTGAAAAGTATAGGGTTTGATGATGGAATTGATTAGAAATTGATGTCGTATGCATAAATGAATTGTTGAAAGCTTAAATCCTAAAGTAAATGGCAAGGGACCATTTTGGTTATTAAGGAAAATATTGAGATAAATTTTAAAAGAATTTTTTTCAAAGTGTTTAAATGATTTGTTATTGTTCAAGCTTCATTTTAATGATTAAAATGTGAAATTTGGAGTTGAATTGTGAAATCCCCTTTTGATTGTAAGATCAAATCCAAGGAAAAAGTTAAAGACTGAAGCTTATATCGTTACTTCAAGTTAGCCGGTGAGGCATTAAAGGTGTGTGTATTCTTATACATATACTATAATATATGATATAAGGAATGCTTGCGATAAGCCAATCTTAAATGTGCTTTACTGATAATATTTTAATATGAAACTACGTTGATTCATATTATGATATTTTCATAATATATTTTTCTAAATGAAAATCGAATATTTTCGGATATGAACGGTCCACTGTACTATTATATGATGTTTTCGATATATTTATATATGAATAAATGTGATTTAAATGGAAATGCACATTGTATGTAAATTGCGATTTCTTGGTATAGTTGACATGACATATAATATTAGCAGCTACATTAGGTACGTAATATATATGTGATGATGGCGCTATTGTATTTTCAGGATACATTATATAGTACATATGTGATAATGGTGCTATAGTATTCTCGATCATTTGTACATTGATACATATGTGATGATGATATCTTTGTACATGTAATTCGACACTAAAAGTACATTATTAGTGACTCGCATACCTTGCATTATCATTTATTCACTTTGAGCTATGATTTGGAAAGTAAATGGAAAAGTCCAGGTTTAAACGAATTGTTTGAAAGTAAATCTTTCATTGAGTATATTGATTTTATTAGGAACTGCTTTATATCTGAATTGATAATTTTCAGGTTACATTTGATATGATTTTATATTATGAGTATATTTTACCTTGTGTTTTCGATTAATTCCACACTAAGTGTATAGTTAGGGTATGATGATTTTCACGTGTAGATAAAGTATAAAGTTAGCAGTAAGGAGCTTTTGGCATTTATCTATCGAGGATTAGATAGCCAGTATCAGTAATGAAATCTTACCGATATATTTTGATTTCTTAGTTGGCATGTGTATATGTTTGGTAGTCACTTTTGTGATGTCTTAACTCCTACCACTTTTCTAAATATTATTAGGTTTGGTTTGATGTTTGAAATATATATATATATTGTTAATGATTTAAAAAAATAAAATTTTAATGAATTTGGAATAAGGAATGTTTTAAAAGTTTCATGTCACACTTTGATTTGTGTTTGGTAACGAATACGGAAAAGGGTTCTTTTAGGTGATTGTTTGAGAGATTCTTTTGGGTAGATTTAACGGTCTCTGATCACCGTGGATGGTGATCGTAGCTTTATCGTCATCAAGGAGGGGGATCGTGTTCTGGATTGAGATGGAGAGAGTTGGGTATTTTTTTAAGAGACGAGGTCTAAAATGAATTTAAAAAAAAAGGAAAAATTTCCTTTTATATTAAGTAGGTTGGTCGGGTTCGGTATGGGTCGTGTCATGAGACTCGCATGTTTTGTTGGGTAGGGATAAAGGTCCTCTACTGTCCTCCATAGTTTTCAGAAAATTTAATTTAGTCCCTAGGCTACAATTTCTTTGCAATTGCTTGTTAATTTCTCTTCTAATTTCAATTTTAATGCAATTTAGTCTTTTGAGCATTTGATTCGTTTACTTTATTTTTAATTTGTCCCCTTGAATTTTTTTAATGCAATTCCATTATTATTTACTATTAATTATTTTATTTGTTTGTATTTTTGTATCTATTCTTTTTATATAATCATAGCATGTTAATTAAATTGATTCAATGATTTGTTTCTTTAATATTGTAATTATTATTGTTTCTTTAATTTCGTGACATTTTTAAATTAATTATAAGCATGATAGCCTCATAAGCATAACTCGACAAATCTCATAATTTGATTAAAGCTGTCGTTGTTTATTTTAAATCATTGAGAAAGATTGTTCTAATTTAGCTGGTAGTTCGATTTCAATAATTGAAAATAAGAAAATACCCTCAATTGAAACGAAATAAAATGATGACACGTTAAAATTAATCCATACAAAGGAAAAGGGAATATTCTTTCGCATAAGCTTTTTGAGAAAAAACACTTGAAAATATCTGAGGGTTCGGTCTCGATATTTGTAATTAATTTAATATTCATAGATGGGTAACTTTTAATTACTTTGAGATTTTTTGTTACATGATTTCAATTTGAACAAAGAAAATTGCTGGATCCTAAGGAATGATTGATATTTCTTTACTTTGGTTGGAATGAGAGATCACCGCTCTACTTTATATTAGGATGTTATTTCTCCTCGGTCGGAATTGCTAAAATGTCATCTTTCTAACTTAGAAGCCTTAAATTCTTGGAGAGTAATATTGATATATCTCTGCTTTGATTGGAAAGTGAGAACGCCATCCTACTTCATATTATGGGGTTATCTCTCTTCGATTGGAAGCAACAAAATGATGACCTTTTCTCTTTAGTACTTAGGATGGTCAACAACATTATATTTATTCTATTGAAAAAGAGATCAATAATTAAATTAAACTTGAACTCAAATATTTCATTGTAAAGACAATAACTAATCAACTAGATACTGATTTTAGGGTGTGTGGGGTGCTAATCCTTCTCCACACGTAATCGACTCTTAAACTCATTTTTGGTATGCAGACCTAAAAGTTGTTTTAATAATCTTTAAAATTAAATTTTATTACAATAAAAAATATTTTTGGTCGATCCAATCACACCTTAAATAAAGATTGATGGCGACTCCTCGAACCATATTTTTCGATTACAAAGGAAATCCCACATTTAGTCAAAACAAACCCTAAAATTATTTTTCGATTTTCCAAAACATTATGAAAGCTCGGTGAATCCGCTGGAGACTTTAGAGAGTCAAGTCATTAGTTGATTAATTATTTTCTTTTCCATAGAAATTATAAATTCAACTTAATTTAATTCTTGATCCCATGTTTGTTTGTGCATGCTTAAATCACTTGTTTGTTTGCATTTGCTTATGTACACTTGTAATTGTTCGTACTTATGTGTGTATTCAATGATTTTAAAACATTTAGGGTTTTTGGAATGATTTTGAGAAATCTGTTCATAGTTTTTGTTTGTCAAAGGTTGGTAAATTTCTCCTTAAACAAAACATTGTATTTGCATATCATAAGCTCTATTCTTGAGCTTCATCTCTTTTAAGTGGGGTGAAAGTGACATCTTCTTGAGATATATTTCTTCTTGCCAAGCCTAGTCAGTAACCTTCAGGGTACATACCATATGTCTTCGTGACATACGTTTCTCCATGTCAGGCATAGGGAATGCATCCTCCTAAATTTAACTTAATCCATATGAGCCTGTGATAGGTGAGGATTGAGGGACTGGCAAGCCCAAGGGAGCACCGACAAGGATAATTCAGGTACCTCTATCTTTGGATATGAAATTATGAATGAAATAAATCTTAAGAATTTCACCCAATGTAAAACCATGTTGAAACCCTAAAAAATACCAAATAAGTGTACACAAAGGAAAAACAAATTTAACGCTTATTTATTCTCTTTATTTTGACGATAAAAAGTATGCAAACTAAAAATCATGCATTTAGAGCTTTTTTTTAGAACAAAGCATGATGGTAGAAATCACGTGTTGGTATGATATATTTTAATCATGTTTGAGGGCAAATAGCATATGGGGCAGGCTTTATCCGCATTTATTATATCAATTATTTTATTTATACTGACTTGTTTGTTTTTTTTTTTTTTATTTTCCTCCGTCACATGATCATAATGTTAAAGGTGTTAATTAAAAAATGATTAGCAAATTAGAATGTTTTCATAATAAAGCAAGGGTTTCCCAATCGAGTAGTCAAAATGGGTTTTTCTTGTGAAATTCTTGGTTTATTGAAATCGTGCGTTCTAATGAAAATGGTTATACAATTATCACTGTTGGAATTGACAATAGTAATACTGATTAGATGCAAGTAACTAACGGTGAATAACTAAAGTTATCAATTCCAACAGTTAAAGATTTAAATTTGGAAGTTTTGAAAGAAGAAAAATTCTTACCAGTTTAAAGTAGGAAACGTTATACAGAAACAATGTGGCATCTTTAAATTGTATTTGGGTTTCCGTTAGTTATTTTGACAATTATCACTGTTGGAATTGATAAACGTTTATATTTAGTTATTCACCTTTAGTTAATTGGTAATAGTAATACTTGATTGATACAGAGTGCTTCATGGCGAGTAAGGTGAAGTGTGTGCTTGAGAGAAACTGCTTTACGGTGATCGTTTTTAATATTCCTGATCTTCTTCATCATCAAGGACTTTGGTTATTATTTGATGTTTACGGCGAGGTGGTAGATTCTTTCATACCTAACAAAAGAAGTAAGGGAGGAAGTAGGTTCGGTTTTGTTCGTTTTTTCAGATTGGAGGATGCGAGGAAGGCTATAAAATGTGCTGATAGAACTAGGATTCAAGGTATTGAAGTTCGAGTTTTTATGGCGAGATTTAAACCTCGTGATTCTTACTGGAGAAAGAAGATCTCGGGGCCAAACCTAGCTGTGGTCAAGAGTAGAGTGGAGGAAGATTGTCGTTCGAGGTTTCCATTGGTGGTGTTGTTGATGAGGATAAGCTTCTAACTCTTAGAGACAGTCTGGTAGGTTGGTGTAGAAAATTTATGAAAATGAAAGAGTTGGCTGCTATTATGCACAAGGAGGGTATTTTTGGTCCGAGAATTATGAGGTTAAGTGGTTTAGCTATCCTTATTATTTTTGAAGATGAAGAGAGCAGGGATTTTACCCTAAAACATCAGAATAGAGCATTATTGAACTGTTTTGAGAAAGTGGAAGTATGGTCGGAGGATATCCAGTGTAGTAGCCGTCGGGCATGGCTATCGTGTAAAGGGATCCCATCTTTTGCGTGGAGTCATGGCACATTCAGAAACATTGCAAGAAAATGGGAGAACTTATCTCCATTGAGGAAGGGACCTTAAATCCTGGCTCGTTTGATAGGGCTTTGCTTCAGATTATTACGAACTGCCAAGCTCGAGTGGATGGTTCTTTTTAGTTGAAAGCCGGGGAAAGGATTTTTCCAGTTTTTGTTTATGAGTTTGAACCTTGTTTCTGTCCTGATTCTGTTTGGGAAGACTCGTCTTTGATGGATATGGAAGTTGTCTCTCCGTCAAACCCAAATACAAGTTAAAGATGCCACATTGTTTCTGTATAACGTTTCCTACTTGAAACTGGTAAGAATTTTTCTTCTTTCAAAACTTCCAAATTTAACATTTATTATTAAATTACTTAATTACACAAATTCCACATTCAAACCCAAATACAAATTAAAGATGCCACATTGTTTTTGTATAACGTTTCCTACTTGAAACTGGTAAGAATTTTTCTTCTTTCAAAACTTCCAAATTTAACATTTATTATTAAATTACTTAATTACACAAATTTATAATGAAATATTTAATTTCCAATTCGCATTCAGTTTCTTGTGGCGATTAGGCAGGTCTCCACTATTTCATATCACAATTTACAGTACCTACTCAAAATAATAATCTGACTTATCCTTATAATATAATTTATTACTACTCATACATAACTACCTAACCACTTATCATGTTTTTTTCTTTCTTTATTATGATTTCTCATATTATATGACTCTATGATTTTAGCACGACTCTTATCATATAGTTTTATATCACCATGTATACATAACATTTGTAATATTTATAATTAAATTTATTGAGACATCTACTTTATAGTTATTGCCTACCGCCACAGAACCACCCCACTGACAACGATTATTATCATAGTTCCACATTAGGCAATAAACTTTCTTAAGTACATATGGATTGCCCTTAATCTATTCACACACATATATACACTTTAAGATTCAATCCATTTAATTAATACTTTTCAAATCACATAACAATATTATTTAATATATAAATTTTATTACAAAATATCATATAAAAACATACTATAAAACTATTTAATCAATAAAATAAGATTTAAGTAGATCATTTCATATATGAGTGACATATAATTTATCTTTTCATCTATAAACAATTTGATGTTAAATCAAATTTTCTTTTACATATAAAACTTTACTATGATACAATAATTAAACATGTATTGTCTTTTCTTCTTGTATTGTTCCCTTTTTCCATACTGTCTCTTTTCTTGTATCGTTCTTTTACTGTACCATACCTTTTATGATACTGTATCTTTTAGTTTTATTTTATAGACCAATGTATTTTAATTGAGAATATTAGGTACGTGAGTCTCGTTAAGTGTGTGCACTATATGCGCTAAAAAATGCCTCGTAGATATATTTTCACTTGAAATTGTCTCGTAGATTTGCACTCAAAAGTGCCCCGTATATTTGCACCATAGGTGCAATATAAACATGTATCATATAATCACTCCACCTCATGTACCTATGACTCTCAAGTCTTATACACATTCACATTGTAACACCCATTTATCGTATACGTTTCTGTACACAAGTCACAGTTGTCACATGATTTTTAAAATATTTCCTTATTTGTAAACCAATAAAATTTTGTTTCTAAAAATTAAAACATTTTAATATAATAATCATAAAACATTTGTTAACTTTCAGTATGTAAAATAGTATTAAAGTTACAACATATTAAACATTACAATAATCAAAAGTCAAATACATTCCAGAGCATTTCCATAAGTCTATTACATGCCATCTAATAATATCAAAAGTAGACATATTTGTCATATATTTACTGATGAGGCAACCTTGGATTGATGATGTCAGCTACACTCCTTACTCCGCTCGTACTAATACCTACGCGTCAAACATACACACGCTAAGTATTTACTTAGTGAGGCTTAATAATAATACCTATGAGATGAAACCAAAACATAAGTATATCATAAAATTATTAAAATACGAATTAAATTGTATAAATCATAAGAATACATAGAACTGGCTTGATAAACCAAGTTTCTTTCACATAACCAACGGAACAATATTTAGTATGCCCAGCATACCTATCAATAAATATTTTTCCAAATTATCCTTTATTTGCCCAATGTATGTCGAATGAGAATGCAAGGTACATTCGTTACACCTAAATGTCGAAATGGAAATCCATAAACTCATTATGAATTCCATGAATGCACATATATTGCCAAAATGGTCATTCATAAACTCATTATGAATACCATGGGTGCACACATAGTGCAGAAAGTACACAAGTACTGATACGAAAATGTAACATAGGCATTAAACAAAATCGATCGATAACCTTTATACGAAAATGCAACTTATGCATTAAACAAAATCGATCGATAACCATCATATACAAAGTATGTCGAAATGCACCTATAAATCTCAATGCACATACAATGGGCCTTTAAGTCAAATTCACAGATTAAACATTTATTTCTGAAACATAGATAACTATTAAAACAATAATAAAAATTCATCCATTCCTTTTTGAGCAGTTCATACTCTAAAATTATCCGTAACATCAGTTCCATAACCATTATGAAGATATATCGAAATAATGTAAACATACGTTTATTAAAACATTCGAGGTTGATTCATCGTATGTCATCCTCATCTCATTTAAGTATATAATAATGCACTCACCTGGTGTGCCTCACTATTATGCATTAATGATGTCTGACTATTCAGTAACTTTTTCCTTTCCCTTTTGCTTGCTTGATTCAGGAGCTTGATTACGATCTACAAAATCATCCATAATTACACATACAATACAAATGTTAGTATACTTTCTAACATTTATACATCTAATAATACTCAAAAGTACTATTATTTTCCAACTCTATTAAAATTCATCCTAACTTAAAATTTCAGACTGGATAGTATCGGTACCCCTCATATGGTATCCATACTTCTCTACTATGGTACCAATACTCACTTCAGTATCGATATCATTTTTGCATTCTGAAATCCATTTTTTCAATTACAATATCGATACCGTCCTCTTGGTATCGTTTCCTCCACATCAGTATCGATACTACTTGCATAAGTATCGATACTGTTCATCGTGTTCATCCTTTTTCCTCAAATTTAACCCTATAGTATCGGTATTGTTCTTTCAGTACCGATACCTTTACATAAATTTTACATATTTCACTTCGATTTTTACCCAATTTTCATCTAAATCTCTTACTCTTATCTCCAACTATACCATCAAACTCATTATCACTTATCCCAACTAACTTACATTCATAAATATCCTTATAATATCCAATAACTCCAAAGAACACTTAAAACTAAAAATCACACCCAAATTTCAAACATGTTTTCAATCACTTCCGATGCTCCAAATCTCTTATTTACTTTTTTGATAAGTCAAAAATTCTTTTAAACTCCAATAACTGACCATATTTCATCAAATCACTCAAAACCCCATTTTCTTAAATCATTAATAAATCACTAATCTCTTAGTTTTAATCATCCTTGAACTTTCCCTAAGCCTCTATATCACTTAAGACTTCAAAACCAACCCAAAAACGAAAGGAAAACCCAACTTGAAGAAACCTTACCTTTGCTATGGGGAGTACGGGGACGAGAAGAAGAAGAGAGTAGAGAACTATTTTCAGACTTATCCTCTTATTTCCCATATTCAACACTTAAATATCTCTTAAGAAATGAATATTAAATTCATTTCCTCCTAAAGGACCATAATGTCCCTCCATTCTTCCATTCTTAATAATAAGTCATAAACACAATTTCCTAGATCAATCCATGTACTTTTCAATTTATTCAATTTAACCCACCAAAATTTTAAATCCTTTCATTATGGTCACTGACCCGATGTTTGGGTATTACACACATATTGTTTCATTCATATATGATACATGTTTAATTAACATAATAAAATCATATATATAATAATATTTATAGAAAAATTATCACATTCATATTGTTTAATTCGTATATTAGTATATTTAATTAACATAATAAATTCATTTTCATATAAATATATTTACAATAACATTAATGTATATTCAATATTGATTTCTTTCACCAAATTGATAACAAATTTTGGCTTTATTAAATTAATCACCCAAGTCCCATTAATAATTAGTTCTCACAACAATTTACTTAGCTTTTCAACATTGCGCATTTAGCTAAAAAAAAAAATTTCTTTTAAATATACCCTAACATTTCGAAAATGTCCAAAATAATTCTTTAATATTCAGATTAAATCAATATCATTCGTCATATTGAATCACTTTAACATTAATTCCAATCTAATACATTAACTTTAAATATCACCAACTTTCTCAAAACTTACGAATTGAACTTCTAACTTATACAACTTCTCATTTTAATCCAATTTCAATATTTCATCATTTAACTATAAATTTTCAACATAGCACACTAACTATCTAACTTTTGTATATTAATCCTCAAATTTTCATGAAATATAAAAAGGTTCTTAACAACTTTGACCAAATTACAATTTTCTCTTCCAAGCCCTTCTAATAATCATTTATTATTAAAATTTACTTATACTTCACATATTATTTTGTATACAATTTCAATTTTAAACCAATAGTTTTCCCATATTTACTATTTAGTTATTGAATTTATACATAATTCCAATTTAATATTTCAA